GACTCCTTTTTTTTTTTTTTTTTTTTTGGTCAAATTATGCAGAGTTAAGTCAAGAAGAAGCTCTCTCTTTTTCTCTCCTTCTCCTCGCTACTGGCCTTGCACACTGGCGACCCGTGATTTTGATTGGAAGCCCTCGGGGTTCTGCGTTTTGCTGCTTGAGTTGTCAGCCTCCCGGCCGCTCAAGCACAGTGGAGCCGACTATGTGCTCCGCGCTCCGATGGCCTCCGTGGCTTGTCGGTTCTGTAGCCCCTCTGGTGGCTTTGTTTTTTGTTTTGTGTGGGTTTTTTTTTTTGGTTTGTTTGTTTGCTTGTTTGTTTGTTTATATGTTGCTTTGTTTGTTTGTTGTTTCTTGTTCGGTGCAGATCCGGCGGCCTTCTTTCTCTTCAGGCGGATTTTCTTTCTCCTCCACAGATTTGTGGCGGCACGCGAGAGGGCTGCCAGCCGCGGCCCTGTGATGTTCCAGATCTGTGGCTGGGGATTCTTTTGCTGTTTCTTGTTCTGTTCGGTGCAGATCCGACGGCCTTCTTTCTCTTCCGACGGATTTTCTTTCTCCTCCGGCAGATCTGTGGCGGCGCGTCGGAGGGTTGCCAGCCGTGGCTCTCGTGCTATTCCAGATCTGTGGCTGGGGATTCTTTTTTTTGTTTTTCCTTCTTGCATAATGTACCGGTCAAATTTCGGTGTATCAACCGGTAACCGAAATTTCGGCCGATACACCAGAATTTGACCAATACACCCGAAATTTGACCGATACACCCGAAATTTGACCGAAACAAAATTTTAACTTATTCCATTTCGGTTAACCTTTAAAACCGATACGTACCGGCCAGTACGGTACAAACTACCTTGGACTCAGGTCACGTGTAACTACAAGATACATATTGATAAAAACTTCATTCTTGAAAAGTGCTTGTGAAATGGTGATTTCTTGTGAATTTAGTAATTTTTTATCTTCTATGATACCTCTTAACTTAGCTGAAAATAAATTTAGTTTAGCTAAAAATTAATTTTGTTAGGCAAATAAAATTAAGACAAAAAACACAAAAAGAAATAAATATGGTATGTAACTAACGATTTGTTGATTCGAGCGGAAGGAGTTCGGTTTTCTTTAAGTAAGTAAGGTATTGAGTTCGAGTTTTGTGAATAGAAAAATAAGCGTTGAGAGAGTTTTCTCTTAATGAAATCCAATACGACTCGATTCCAGATTAATCGGTGTCTATTCGTGGTTATTGAATATTGAGAGGTTAATACTAAAAAAAAATAAAAATGTCATGTGAGAAAGCTACGCATTTTGCCCTTGTTTTCTGTGTCCTGGAGTGAACCTGATCCAATTGACTTTGTAGTGCAAAAGTGAGGTGACACCAACCAACTTGTTAGGAAGATAGATTTGATGCACTTGTCAGCCATCATTAACATGGCAGTGCTCAACCTGTAAGTTTTCTTCTAATAGAAAAAGAAATGCAGACCTTTCTCGCCACGGCACTTGTTTAATGTCTTTGATTTTTATGTAGCAACTATCTCTTATACTTCACAGATAAGAAATTGACAAAGACCTAACCAACACCAAATGCTTAAACCGCCTAATTCCCCAATGAATTATAAGTTTCCTTGTGATAATCCGAGAATTAGAGCCTTAGTTTGTTTGGCTAGCAGCTCGAGAGAAACTACTTTCCTCAGAAGGTCTCATGAACTGAATGATGAGTCGACTAAAATAGCATTTTTTTT